ACATATCTAGAGAAAGGCACATTCAAATATGCAGTTACAACTTACTTCAGAGTTAATACTTGTTATTTGTCTATTGCTTTGGGTTTAATGACAATTAGATTGAACAAAGCAGGTCCTGGGAGGACACTGCAGCCACTGAAATAATTGATTGCATAATACAAGAGCACAAAATCCTAAATCTAGCTAGAAACATTCTTTATGACACTATAATGATGGACACATAACATACACATTTATAAAAAGTCCATAGAACTTCAGTGTAAAGAATGAACCTTAATGTAGGCAAAAAAAAAAAAATTATTTAGGAGGTCAGAGGAGCCTAGGATGAAATGTTGTATGTAATATATGACAAAATAATCTGTGTTAACAAATGCATGAAACAGCATCATGAAAGGGACTAGAGGAGAAAGGTGCTAATACTCACATAAAGTGCTTCACATATGCACCACAAATGTACACAGTGTTTTTTGTGTAAGACCTATATCAAAATCACCTTTGTAACTGTTAAATTCAATTTTTTAGTAAATGTGAAGCTATCCCCATTTTTAGAGATTGTGAGTCAGTAAGTGTTGGGTGGCTCATTTATTAAAGAGGTCAATGAATGTTAATTTAACAAGTACCTAATATTAATCACATAGAGACTTAATATTCATGTAGAATTGGGATGAACTATGCAGGAAGATTTTATATCTGTTTCTTTTTCCTTTTCATCTGGGTTTCAACCAGAAATTTATGTGAATTATACATTTCCTAAGGCTAAATTGAGTTGTTTATGTAATTGCCCTTTTTCTTCTCCAAGTTAAAATTTTTATGATGGAAAATACCTTTCTCCTTATTCTGTATTTTGCCATCTATTAAGACAAATTTCTACATTATAAATAATATATAAAAATTTAAAATATTCAGACGCACCAGAATTTGGAATTGTTAGAAATATGAAATATGTGGGGCTCCATTTGATGATTTTGTATTGGTAGAAGGTTATAAAGAAGATCAGGCCCCTGTCAGTGCAAACTTCACAAATCTCACTCTGCTGGTTCTGATGGTAGTGATTTTAGTTGTTTTCAATGAAATTTATGTTATTTTCAAGATGAGTTTGGGAAGGAATTGGGAGATGACAGTAAATAATATTGTAACATTGGCAGAACCTCTTCATAAAATTTTACCTTTATTTGTTTTGTCTTGTTTTTATTTTTGTTTTTTTCTATTCCTATTAGTCTTTTGATGGGGCTGAGAGGTTTTAATAGGGACCACAGATAAGATGTCATGAGGTCAACTAAACCTTCCTGAGCTCTGTGCATCCAACTGGTTTATGATCATCCCTGTGTTATATCATAAGCCCTAAGGTACCAAAAGAGAAGCTCTGGTATAACCCTTGAAACCATCTCTGGACTGTCCCAGGAGAATTGAAGTAGATAGCAGTTGGTGTCCCCTGAGAACTTTTCATTCATTGATACCTTGGCATATTATGTGAAATTGCATTCATATGATGATATTTTTGCATTCATGATCTCCATGAAATTGCCATGGAGCTGTGTTCTGGGAAATGACCATATGCTTAAAAAGTGCGCATATACACAAACATTAGTAAAGAGTCACAAGTGTTTTATGTTATACTTCAACTTTTACATATAGAGTGACTTTAGAAATAATCTGCTCAGGAAATCTGATTTTACAATGAGGAAATTGAGACTTCAGGAAGGAACACAATGTTAACTCTTATTTCCATTAGAATGTGGGAAGGTGGGGCTTGAGCCCCCAGCACAGTGCTCTTTCTGCTGTTTAACAGTGTGTATACAGTTACATAGAGATATGGATGCCCACAAAGGAAGAGATATCTGTGCGCAAAACTAGCTGGGAACAAATAATTCATCTAGTATAAAACAAAGCCCACTAATTCTAGCTTGAGTCTAAGTGGTTTTATTTTTTTAATTATTTTTCTATACCGAACACATACATCCTATAAAGAAAGCCAAGCACTTAGAATACCAAATAATCTTGATCACATGTCGTAATTGATGAAAAGGGACTTCAACAAATGCCTTAATTTCATACATTTTGTTTAATAAGTTTTTAAACCTTCACAGTACCTATCACAGTTTTCCTGTGAGTAGTGCTCAGTGCGTCTATATTAACTAAAGATGAAATGCAAACATTTCTCAATTTATTGTCAATGAGTGAAAAATTTTTCTCATTTCATCAGACTTATATGGAGCTACCATGTGACTGATTTCATCTGGATGAGTTTAAAAAAATTAAAGAAGGCATATATAATGAATGCCTCCTAAATGCCACTTTATATCCAGTCTCTCATTCAATCCTTAGCACACCCTTATGCCATAAGAATATAATCTCTATTTATAAGTAAGAAAATTGAGAGTTAGATCAAACAGCAAGAAGAAATCTTGTCAGGGTGGGAACCAAATTCTCTCTGATCACAAAGCCCATCCATTTCTCATACTGTAGTCTACTCTGTAATAATAGTACAAAGGCTTCATGATATGCTTGTCCTATAGCTATTTTTAAATGTTTAAGTTCCTGGGTGGGTCATGAAAAGAGGGAAAAGAAAGCAGAGTCAAATTCTCTGCAGACAAGATTTTCAACCTAAAGGTATATAAACTTTTCTTTCTTTGCATGACTTCACAGTGCATCCCAATACTGTGCAACTCTGTTCATCTCAAGGTATATGGAAATAGTTTTATGTTTTGAACAATTAGACTTGACAGGGCTATTGTTTCTTTTTTATTTAATATCCCTCAGCCCTGGATCCCAGCCAGAATGTGTATTCTCTCTCCAAATTTAATTCTTATTCCTTGTACATATCACTTAGTTGTCAGGAGACAGCAAGTTAATGCCATTTGTTCCAGTGGCTTAGGAGCATCTGGGTTATGTCACTTTTTAGTTGACCTGCTTAGCTCCGAGGGAATAAAGTTCTTTGTCTAATGATCTCTCAGGGGCTCTCATCATTGGTGATTGTGCTTTTCCAGATCCTACATTGTTCTGTAAATGTCATGAAATGATAAGATTTCAAGATACTTATTTGTTTCTACTTAGAGGAGGATGGCAGATACAAATATGGAAGGATCAGGGAACAAGGATTTTTACAGAAGATAAACTAACAAAGTCGTAGCATTGGTGTGTAACTTGATGATCTACCAAGTCTAAAACTCTGAGGGAAATGGAAACAAGGGACAAGGAGTGGGAAAAATGCATCTCTATATTTTGTGTCAATTCAACTCAGTTCAGTTCAATCAGTTCAGTTCAGTTTAGTTCAATTCAACAAATATTTCTTTGAACCCTCAGTGAAGAGCAGGCACTGTCCCAGATGCCAAAACAACTTAGTTTTCTTTAAGGTTTTGTGTGACCAAGCAAAACAGAACTAATAATATTGATATCTTTGAGAAAGTCATTTCACCTCCCTGGGCCTCAGTTTCCTCATGTATTAAATGGTGATTTCTTTCAATCGTTCATATTAGGTGACATTCCCTAGGGGAAGGCTGTGCTGTAATTGAAAAAAGCACTGTATTAACATCTTGCATAGAGTAAGCCATCGAATCTTGGGAATTATTTTGTTGTTGTTGATCCTAATTGTTATTCTTAACTCAAAAGTGGTGTACTGGTATGGTGTGTACACTGTGACCACATAGATATGCACCTGGTTCCTGAGGTGGAAAGCGGCTCTGTGACCAGCAGGATGATTTTGAAAGTTAAATATTCCCCCAAATGAATATCTCTTTGAATAACCGAGAAGTTTCTGGCAAGATTTTAATTGGTGTGGAGTTTATGTTTGTCAGCTTGCAGCAAAGAAATATTTTATTAAGCTAACACTTACTGAGGTCTGGTTCACTAAATTGTTGTAGTGCTCTTTCTGCATAAGGATTCTCCACCTGATTGACATTAGGCTTTGCCGTATGACTTGCTTTAGCCAATAAAATGTAAGGAGGAATTAGATGTGCCACTACTGAATGGAAGTTTTAAGAGAGACCATGAACAATTACTGTGTTCCCTTTCTTTCTGCCATGAGACCAGCCATGTTCCAAGGTGTGGGGCATCCACCAGCCTGGGATTTGACAGAAAAACACTGTGGAACTACCCTGTGGAACTGTACTGTGATCAAGGACCAATGTTTTGTCATTGTAATCTGCTAAGATTTCTTTTTCAATTGCATTATAATCCAGTCCACCCTGACTACACTGTGCTTGCTATTGAGAAATATAGTCCTGAGCAAGGCAAATCTGATCTTAGGTCTTTTATGAATATTTCAGTCAAGCAAGATGTTAAAGCAATATTGATGCATAAAACAGTAGAGTATGCAATGCATTCATATATTAAGGGAAACAAACCTCGCCTTGTGGTCATGAAGACCATCTTGATATGCATTTAAGCTGACAGTTTACAAATTAGTAGGAATAAAACTGGGCAAAGGCCAGGAGGAGGAAGAGAGTTTTGCTAACAGAAAGAAAATCACAGGCAAAAAGGCATAAAGGCAAGAAAGGTCATGGGGGAGTTGAGGAACTCTTTGTTAAGTATGGCTGCAAGGCAGAGTAAAGGGGGAACTGAGAAGGAAGTTGGCTGATGAGATAATATCAATAATAAAAATACTGAGGATTTATTAGCTTTGTGCTAAGTGCTTTACATACATTTCCTCATGATTATTAGCACCATTTTATAGAAGAGGAAATTGAGCCAGAGAGAGGTTTAATAACTTGCCAGTAGCCACACAGCAGGGATGTAGTTTTATCTGAAGGGCGATAGGAAATCACTGGATGGTGTTATACAGGAGATCCTCATGGTCAGATTCATATTTTAGAAAGATCATCTGGCTGCAGTGGGTTCCCAGTTCACAATCCCATTCTGGTTGGAGGGAGTGTAGGCCTCATTTTCTGCTGCTCTTATCAATCTGCCTGTATTGACTAAGGCAGTTGGCAGAGGGAAGATGATAGCTGGAGTGCCACAGAGGTCATTTTTTTAATGCTTTAAAAAAATTAATAGGTTTTACAATAAATATGGAACACTTCACGAATTTGTGTGTCATCTTTGTGCAGGGACCACGCTGATCTTCTGTGTATTGTTCCAATTTTAGCATATGTGATGCTGAAGTGAGCACAGAGAAGGTCGGTCACGTTTTGAAGGAGTCAGGGTGATACATGCAAGGAAAATATATTATGGGTCTCTAGAGCATTAAGATTTATATAATAGTTTTAAGAACAATATAAACATAACAAATTGATCCCTCAAAGAGCTTTTATACTTAATTCAAATAATGGCTATGATATGACAGCAATATTTTGAGCATTTCATTTTACTTTTGACTATAAAATAGAAAATATAGTGGGTAAGTTAAAGGCAAAGCCAAAAATCTTTAAAGCAGATTTAGTTAGTGGTCCATGTAGTCTCCCCTCCTTGTTTACTGAGGTTGAATAATAGTGATCACAATTTGTGTTTCTCTGTGTCATAAGAAGAGAGATATATATTCCAAGAGGAGAAAGAGTTCTTCATAAATGACAGTGACATCTCTGACAGTTGTTTTCTGGGAGTTGTTTGGAATCCATCAGAAGCCTCTGGAGACATGGGCCTGACTGAAGAGGTCCCCAAGTCAAGAGGCTAGGGACTGTGATTAATATGAATTCTGTTCAAGTCTTCATGGATCTCTTCTGTTTCAACAGAATTCGAAGGAAGAACTGTAGGTGATTTTGACATTTATAGTTTGCTTCCTATAACACCTTCTATGCATCATCCCCAGAACCCCAACTCTTATCCTTTCCCTCCCTTTCCCTTCTCTTCTTTTTCCTAACCCTTACCTGCTTACTCCCTTGGCTAGTCTTTTTTCTCTTCTAAAACAGTCTCTGCAGAAAATAACATGCTAAAAATGAGCTGACTGTCAATATGCATAGGAAGATTTATTGCAACAGAGAAAGGATGTTATGAGACATTGTGCGTATTAATCTTTCCATTTGGCCTATAAAGACCGAGTTTGGCTCCTTTCACTTACATGCTTTTAAGGAGATGCAGTTAGGTCAGAGCAGGAGATTTGGGGGTTGATAGAGATTCACAGCTTCCGTCCAGGAATACACAGCAGCTCTGCAGTTGGGGCTTCCCGTTAACAGCCACAGGCACTGCGGCCTTTGAGGTGCCATTGCGAGAGGCCAGCTTGGCGGAGGTTTTTAATGCCATTCTTTCCAAACAAACTGCCTAGGCAGAGAAATGTCAGGAAAAAATCAGTGCAGGTTTTGGGATGGTTTTTTGAAGTTTTCTTCCAATAACCAATAATGAGTTGCAGGCTTTGATAGCTCTTTTTATAGGTTTTGCAGCAGCTGGATCAAAATCTAATGAAGATGTTTGCGTCTGACAATGGCAGTCCTGCACATTTCTATCCTATTTCTTGAGTGCACAAATGCATTTCATTTGGGAACATGAAAGGCATATTTAGTGACAACTGATGGTTCTTTGTTTTTTAATTCCCAATAATGTCTTCAGTAAGTGCTTTTGTTAACATTTTTGCATTATACAATAGGTGACACAGGAAGATAATCCGTGTGCTGAAAGCAATTAAAGAGTTTATATCCAACTTGTTCTGCCTATTAAATGGATCCATTCGGCATAGAAGCACATTAGCATCTTTACAGTGGAATGATTGTGGAAATAGTTTATTCATGGGGCCTGTGCATCTTCCTCCTGCTGCAGTAAGACATATCTTCAAGATCGGAGAAAAGGAATGAGCCATTTTTCTCCCTGTGGAACTGTAAACAGAAGTAAAACTATTAATAGATGCTGTAGCTAATCCCAAGAAGCTGCAACTGAGAGATTAAATAATGTTGTGAAGGGAGAAAGCTAGAATGAAAGGAGGGGTGGAGGGAGGCAAGTTTCCTGATCGCTGAGCTGCATTAGACAAGGACACACTGAAGGCCTGCAGCTGATAATGGGATTGACAGCTGGTATAACAGGGGATTCCTGTTTTCAGCAAAGTAAATATCACTTCATTTCTTTCCTGAGAACTCTTCTAATGGGAAGATTTATTCTTTATTTTTTAGGTAGTTGAGATGATTTTAAATGGGGTATAGATGCCATGGAGATGCAGCTGAGCCTAAAGGGGACAAATGGGCTTGGTGAACAAAAAATCGTGTTTTTAAAAAGAAACCCAGAGATCTGGGAGGCCTTCATGTAAATTCACAATTTCAGACTGGGACCCCATTTTTATTGCCACATATAATGTATTATAACAAGAGGGATTGGAATATAATTAAATCTTTTGCCTGGAATATTAGAAATGATTAAATATCCCTAAGTTTTATTCTTACTAATACTCTTGGACTTTTGTTCATCCTCTCTTCAATAAATAACATTTTGACTGAGAGGCATTATAAATCAGCAGTTCTGACAAGGAAGGTCACGTGTCTTTGGATCTTCCCACACACCATGAGGTTGGTATTCCTGATATAACTTAGTAATACTCAAGTGTGGTCCATGGTATCATCATCTTAATCGTGACTTGGAAACTTACTAGAAATGCAAATTAACTGGCCCTACACCAGTCCTAATAAGCCAGGATCTCCAAGGATGAGCCCTAGCAATGTGTTTTAACAAGTTCTACAGGTAATTTTTATGCCCACTAAAGTTTGGGAAGTAATTTTTTATAATTGAGAAATCTGAAACTCAGAGTGTTTGGGTAGTCTGTTAAGATCATATGCCCTCAGAGAACAGAGCTGAATTTTGACTCAGGATTCCTTATTATGTCCCAAAGCAGGATCTTTTACAGAATCACTGAAATACCTAGTGACCCCTTTTGGGGTCAGGAGCATACTTGATCTCTGAAGATGGTTTCATTAGGGATTGTGACTGAGGATGCTTGGAATCTATGAATGATTTGAGGTGTTGTTTCTCTGCCAGAATATAAATTCTATTATCTCTGCCAATGTGCCTAGCTTCTGATAGAGGCCCAGCTGGCCCCCTTTCCGGTATGTTAAGAGATGAGGAAAACTCCAAGGGTGACTGGTATGTAGGTCAGAGGATGAAAGCGTGTGGCACCCCTCTATTTCACTTACTGAAACACTATGCAGAGGAGTGAACGTTGATCATCTCTCAACATTTTTGTATCTATTAATAGATTGCTTAAGCTCGTGGTGGGAGAAGAGATTCTGGCATGTTATAGAAGTGAATCAAATTTACTTGTGATTGCAGATCACTAAAAATCAGCAGTGAATTGACCGAGATCATGGAATTCATCAGGTGCCTGAGAATATAGACCAGCATACAGAGAAAGAGACTTATGGATGTCTGGCCCTATTAGCTATCATTCTCCAAGCTTGAACAGGCATTAGCTCAGGCCTTTCTATCACGTATGCAGACTGCACTGAGTACTCGGAAAGAGCCCGGTACCCATTAAGTTATGACTGCTTTTACTGGCATCATTTTGCTTTCTCCTCACCCACGTTTTTGCCCTCTTTCTTGATAGCATTTGGAAGGAAAGATCCAGAGTCTCAAATATATTTTTTCGCTCAATAAAGGCAGGCTTTCAAAACAAAATTAATGCTGTTTCTCGCAACTGATATTATGATTAAAGTGTTTCAAGGAGGGAGTATTTACAGGAAAGAAATGCTAGCATTCAGACTAAGGTTTCAACCCTGGGTATGCCACTGGCTAGTTTGTATGTCCTTGGGCTTGTTATTTTTAACCTCTCTGAATCATAGTTTCCTTCTGTAAAATAGGGAGTATTTTATATCTCATACAGTGATTGAGTGGATTCAACTTGGGGCAAACATTCATTCAGTTTGCCCAGGACCATACAGGTTCTACACTTGTCTTGATGTAATTATTTGTAACACTCCCTTTCATTCTGAAAGTGCCCTAATTTGGGTGATAAATTATAAATCTAACATAGTTAAATAAAATAATGTATGTAATGTGTCATGGCCCATCAGTATTTAGTAAATGGGAGCTATTACTTGAAATACTGCATTTGGATCCAGCTGTATCACCTCACTAAACCAGAATATTTTCTTCCCTGGGACGTAAACACTGAAACACTCAGGGTTGTGCTTATCTGTGCTGGGGGTCTGACAAGCCTGTGCTTCCCTGTGCCACTGCTTTAGCCTGAACCATTTCTTAGGTCAGTAACAGCAACAGCCTGGGGAAAAACCCACTGGTCACTTCTGCAGAATCAAGTGTTGCTTCTCCTGGGGATAACTGGGTCACTGGTATAGTATTTTGGAGCTTCTAGAAGAAAACTTCTAGAAAAGAAGTAATTTAGATTTATGATATAGAAAAGAAGTAATTTACATTTATGAGTATCAACTCAATGCCAAGTAATCTCAATCTTGGAACTCAAGGTGGACACTACTAGTCTCATCTTATAAATGAGGAGCCCCAGACTCAGAAAAGTTAAGAAACATTTTTAAGGTCATACATTTGCTAAGAAGAAGCTAGAAGTTAATTTTTTTTGTCTCCTAGGCTCTTTCCACAACAGTGCTCAAATGCCATTAATGAGGAACAATTCTAACACCACATGAAATGATGAGTAATATCAATCAGTTTAATATCATTCTTGGCTTCCTCTCTTTGACAGGTGGAGTAGAAACACTCTGTCTCAAGGAGAGAGGATATTTCTAAAACCAACCTGCCACTTCTTTGATCTTAATGCTTCCCCCCCCCCCATGCCCATCGTAGATACAGCTTTTCATAGCTCATTGAGCACCCCAGATATTAATGGCTGCCATCCTGCTGCCTCTGCCAAACATCCCCAAATCAGGATTTTTAGAAAGCAGAAGGTTTGGTTTGGGCTTCTGTGGGAGACACTAATGGATGAAATGAGAGGAAGAGGAGAAAGAAGAAGAAAGGCAGGGTTGACTTTCAGATCAGACTCATTTCTGCATGAACAGATGGAGACTTTTAGGAGAAACCCATTCCTTCCCACTTCCCTAAGCAGTCTAGGTTAATTGTGACCTGCATTAAGTAGATAAAGATAAATGTGAATTTAAAATTATATTTAATCTTCATTAAAGTAATTATCTCTCTTAATGAAGAATTTGCTGGGTTGTGGTTGTGCAATGAAGTATAAAATCCTAAGTGAATAAAATCAATTTCATTTTCAGGCTAGCTTTTCTGTCCATT